CATTATCAAAGTTTTTGTAACATTGCCGTCAACTCTCATGTGAAGGCAGTAAACAATTACTATTTTCCTATACTATTTTTCGAACTTTTTTGGTATATATATATAAAAGAGGAAGAGGAATTCGCTTGAGTGCTTTCGTGTAATAGAGTATTGGAAGATATGTTAAAATATTCATGAATGTACTCAAGCACTTTATGCATTATATTTTCCAATGTGTTACCCATTAGCATTTACACATGTATATTTGAAAAGTACTTTCTTATTGTGAGCATTGTGGCTTCAGTCGGTACGGTGAGCGAGGTGTTCAGAGCACGAAATAAAATAACGATAAATATATATGGTAAAAAAGGCGCAGTTCATTCACAGAGAGATGACAAGGCTGCTAACAGTGACTTTGTTTTCCGAAACACTGGCAGACTTCATCAACATTTGCTACATGCACTAACTATCTTATCTTGTATCTTGAGATGATTTCGGGGCTTAATGCCCTCGCGGCCCGGTCCTTGACCAGGCCTCCTTTTTTTTGTTACCCCCCCCCCAGGAAGCAGCCCGTAGCAGCTGTCTAACTCCCAGGTACCTATTTACTGCTAGGTAACAGGGGCATCAGGGTGAAAGAAACATTTTGCCCATTTGTCTCCGCCTCCACCGGGGGATCGAACCCGGAACCTCAGGACTACGAATCAGAAGCACTGTCCACCCAGCTGTCAGGCCCCTTAAATAATTAAAACATACCACAGTACCAATACCGCTTAATTTAACATACGCCTACAGGACTTCATGTTTATGTTCATAAATAGCAAAATATATTAATATTAAACTACCTGAGAAAAATGTATTGGAAAACGCAAAACATTTTGTGAGAGAAAATCCCATAAACATCAAGACTATTAATCCGATATATAGAATTTTACTGTTATTATTACCGGATATTACAAGACGTAAGACGCATGGGGATTAATTAGAAAATTAATTTTTATTACAATGAAAAGATGATTTAAACATTATCATTATTTGATTTGTTAAAAAAATCAAAGAAAAGATTCATGCTATTGGAAATATCAACAGAATGTTGATATTTCAATCGACTTGAGAATGGTCCAGGACGGACCGAAACGTCGTCGTCCCTTGACTTTCTAGTGTGTGGTCTGGTCAACATACTTCAGCCACGTTATTGTGACTCATCGCCTGCAGAATGTTGATGACAGAATTCATAATTTCTCGTCTAAATTGAACACGATTTAAAACAGAAATATGAAGTATTTAATAACAGGTCATAATCTCAGCTTTTGAAAAGAGACTGTAAAAAAAAAGACTAAAGAAAAAGACTGTAAAAAAGTAAAAAAAAAAGCTTACTGTTAAATAGGAATATCGTTAATATGACAGTAGGAAGTTAAAGAGAAAAGGAATATAAGGAGACAAGGAGATAATATATTATCTCCCTAATATAAGGGAGATAAGGCAGTATATAGGAAGGAAAATCGTTAATATTAGAGAAACATAGTTCAGTATTAACGAGAAATATCGTTAACACTGTTGTAAAACAGATAAATGATAACGATGAAAAACTTCAATATTTTTATTTCTCACCCGTCTTTGAGAAGATTTAGATTACGATAAAACAACGAACGATACAAAATATTGTGAGATAACAGGAAATTAAATAAAACGGGTTTTGGTTATCAGTAACACAGATAGATATGATTTTCTGTCATGTTAAATAAAATAATCTATTTTCACAGATAAATATTCAAATTGACAAAAAGTATTGCATGTGAAAATTAAGAATTTTCAATAGGAAATTTTTCGAGCCGTTGTTTAACCTGATTTTTTATGTTTATATTTGAACGAAGATTGTATAAGTGGATTCGAATACAATTTTATTTATTGAGTACATAAACAACTTTCAGTCTTTTGTAAACTATTTATAGTAGAACTCATCACACTCATAATTATAAAGCGTAGAACAACGTTCGACAAAGTCCAAAAAAGTGACAAAAAGGCTAAAAAAATATTAATACCAAGACTAAACTGAGAAAAAGTCATCTGGCAATTCATTAATAAGAAACTCAAAATGAAATACAAGAGGCCACAAAAAAAACTAAAAAAGACACACACACAAAAGATGATACGAACTTCTTAATCATCTTGGTAGTTTTACAAGGTGAGTTGATGAGAGAGAAATAGGTATTAACCGGCTCTGAGAGGCCTGAGAGGCTATCATCCCACTTCTGGGACTTCATGCAAATTTAGCCTTCAAGAGATATATGTTGGACTAAGTGGGTAGAGTTTAGCTGGACGTGCAGACCCTAGTTAGGGTTCACATACACCTGGTGAACCTAGATAGGGTTCACACACACCTGGTGACATTAGATAGAGGATCATACACACACCTGGTGATCCTAGATATGGTTCACATACACCTGGTGAACCTAGATAGGGTTCACACACATTTTGTGACCCTAGTTATGGTTCACCGGGAATCGAACCCCGGTCCACAGGATTACGTGACCAGCGTGCTGCCCACTCAGCCACCAACGCCCCAGTATGTGTGTTGGTGTTGTCGGTATAATCCAACACCGGATGCCTGCCACTCTCCACACTGATAATACAATTACATAGAACCATTACCTTAACTAACAATTCCCTTTCTACTGTGCTGTAAAGATTTTTGTGTTTCAGAAACCTCGGAAAAGTATGACATTGGCTCATGAATACTGAGATATTAGATCACACTGAAATACTTGATGAACTTCATGGCTTTAATCATCAGGTATGAATCTATTTTTTTGTTTCTCTTTCTGCCTCATATGTGCAATCTTTTCCCCTTTCACACCACATAGAGTGGTGTGTCTATGTGGTTCCTTTCACACCACATAGAGTGGTGTGTCTATGTGGTTCCTTTCACACCACATAGAGTGGTGTGTCTATGTGGTTCCTTTCACACCACATAGAGTGGTGTGTCTATGTGGTTCCTTTCACACCACATAGAGTGGTGTGTCTATGTGGTTGCTTTCACACCACATAGAGTGGTGTGTCTATGTGGTTGCTTTCACACCACATAGAGTGGTGTGTCTATGTGGTTCCTTTCACACCACATAGAGTGGTGTGTCTATGTGGTTCCTTTCACACCACATAGAGTGGTGTGTCTATGTGGTTCCTTTCACACCACATAGAGTGGTGTGTCTATGTGGTTAGCAACATAGCAGGCGGGTTATAATAAGTTCACTAGTATCCAGGCTGATGTAAGGTTGGCCTTCCCTTGTAGTCTGAACAGGTTTTCCAGCAGCTTTAACTACTCTTCCCGGGTGTATAATACCATGTCATCACTGTATTATCTCACCTCCCGTTGCCTCCTGCATGACCACATGTAAAACGAATTGGAAACTACTACTGCTGTTTTTCATGGCAATGGAAAAGACCTGATACTAGTACAACTCTTACGAGGATTCTGTTGGTTTTCTCCACCATTCCCTTTTCCCCCCGTCCCATCCCAAATCCTTATCCTGATCCATTCCAAGTGCTATATAGTCGTAATGGCTTGTAGCTTTCCCTTGATAATCTCATCCATTCCATCCACTAGAGGTATGTGAAAGTAGCACTTCTGTGTGTCGTACTTTCTTATGAATCCGGACTTATTTCCTTACCAGAGGAGGAAATTTCTGTGGTGTAAAGGAAATGCTGTAAACGTTTGCTAGACGGTCAGTCTAGGAAATGCTTCGGAGCAGTACAGTAGAGAAAATGCTCCACACATATGCTTGGGGATGAGAATTACAATCACAACGATTGTCTGTATTGTGCATTAATATCCAGACTACAACAGACTTGTAGTCAAGAATAACAATCGAATAGTTATCAGTAATATACAAGAGATATATCTATATCTACATATATCACATTCTACATATATCCATTCTACATTCTATATCCATTCTACATTCTATGATATATCTACAAGATCACATTCTTGTAGATTGTGTAGGCATATACCTTGCATATATTTCTTCTCCAGGTTAATCTGTACGTAGTGTTACTGTACACAAGTTAATTTAACAATTACAGTCAGTCATTTGAACACATTTCATGTGTGTAATTTAACATGTGAACACATTTCAAAATAATACAGATATATTTTGGATTAATTTATTTCGCCTTTCCTCCAGTATATACAAATTCCCGTATAAGTTTCATCATTATAAGTTAAGGCGGTGTTGTTCTTATGTTAGAATTCACTGAAGCAACTGTGAAGTCGTGTCTGGGTAAAATATACATTTTTGTTGAGTATTGGCTTGATTTTCTGTAATCTTTATCTTAATCTTGACCTTCATTTTAATCTTATTCATATTTTTACAATAATATGTTTACCCTTAGTATGTTAAAATATTTGGTTAAAATTGATAAAGTTGTTAAATTTGGTTACTATTAATTTGAAATGTATTTCTTTTCCTGTGTATGAAGTATACAAGCGGATGAAATGGTATAGTAAAGGGAATATAATGAGATGGTAAAATACATCAACTGTAAATAGAACACGAACCAGTGGATATAAATTGAATAACTTGAGATTCTGAAAAGTTCAGAGGTAAATACTGATTGGCAAATAGGGATGTTAGTTATTGGAACAGATTACAGAGTAACATAGTAAATGTGTGTTCACCTGATTGTTTTAGACGAAGGATAGACATATATATTCTGTTCCGGTTTCAGTAGAAGCCTCGAGAAACCCTCATGTCTTTAGTAGAACTCCAGGTTGCAATTATTTTGACCATGTCGTGGTGTAGTTGGCTAGCGCTTGTGTGTGGGAACATCCTCCGTCATAGGTTCGAACTCTCATCACTGCTCCTACAGATTTTTCTCATTGATACATTACGTTAGGGTGATTACTCTCTGATTATTATTATTATTATTAAACTTGAATTATCATCTGAATTATTTCTGATTATTTACATTTTGAAAGTTGTATTATGTTGTATTATGAAAGTTGTATTTGTCTCCTCCCGCAGGGAAGTGGCTCAAGAAGCTTGCCTGTACGAGACGCGTCCACAAACAGGTAAGATGAACATGATCCATGGCAGCTAAAGTTGTTTAACCAGCAATTTCAAATCCAGTTTTAGCAGAAAAGTGAGAAAGAGAGAGCGAGGGAATGAGAGACAGAGAAAGAAAGAGAGAGAACATGAAAATATAGAAATCCTCAGAAGTCCTTTTGGCAGAACCTATTTATAAGAGACAGTTCCTATTTATATCCAGCGAAACTCCTTGAAATATGTGTCTAAACTACGCTTGAAACAATCCAGCGACTTCCCGTCCATAATGTTCTCCGGTAATTTATTTCATACATCAGCTACCCTATTTTCACATCAGAATTCAGACAGGTCTCTCCTGAATTTAAACTTATAAAATTTATATACATTATCTAGGGCATCTTGGGGGTATTGTTCAGTCCTCCTATATCTCGACTGTCCTAGTCAATTTAACATCATCTGCAAATATCGACTTTAAAATCGCAGTTACGCCATTTTCATATATAATAATCGTATGTATCCTAGGAAGGATTCTTTGAAGGACTTAGAATTTGAAACTTCATTCTGCACGACTTATATAGATCATTACAATAATGACCGGATTAAACAGGTGTTCAACATTCTAAATAAAACTTATATTTTTTGTCAAAAAGACGAGCAATATTTAGGTTACAGAGTGAAATGTGGTATATACTGGAAAGACTGAGTATAGCTAACCATTCGGGCGGCGAGACAGATATTGGCACAATTTATATCACATTTTTAGAACGAAGAGAAAATAAATTTTATTACAAGTAATATAAACTAATTCTGCCATGAAGTTGTATAAATTTGCACACCCTTAGCATTCAAAGTTAATAGATTCTGGAGCTATCACGGATCAAAATCCCTCCAAACAAACACACAATATATATAACATAGATCTGGCGTAACTAGGACTCAAAATGGCTGTCAGTGAGCCATTTCTTTGTGACAATAGTTCCTTAGAAAATCCAAATATACAGTTTAAGGGTTTCCTTGCTTTTCCTGCTGACTAGTGCTTTAATATGTCCTGTCAACCCGCTACATCATATACATCACACAGGGCAGAGAGGGAGAGAAGGAGAGAAACAGAGAGAGACAAGAGAAAAAATAATTACCCCCCCCCACCGAAAAAGCACTACGCTGCAGCCTACTCTTCCACACACACACACTGTGCGTGTATATATATATATATATATATATATATATATATATATATATATATATATATATATATATATATATATATATATATATATATATATATATATATATGCGGATAATCCACAGAGAAATATGAAATGAGGTGAACGTTTCGGCTTTTGAGGTGAACGTTTTAACTAGCCGAAACGTTCACCTCATTTCATATTTCTCTGTGGATTTTCCGCATAAAATGATCAGTGTTTTGTGATCGTCAATTGCATATATATATATATATATATATATATATATATATATATATATATATATATATATATATATATATATATATATATATATATATATATATATATAATATATATAGTAGTAGGCATCCATCAGTCTCAGGAGACTATGGAGTTGCGCTCTGATGTCGGCCTGGTCTGGAGTATATATATATATATATATATATATATATATATATATATATATATATATATATATATATATCATGAATTACCTGGAAATAGATAGAAAGTGTCATTTCCAACTGTTTTCTCATACAGTATACATACGTATACACCATGCTAAGGAGAGGGAAATAGTTTGTACACGGACAAAATGACAGACTCTCCATGACATAATTTCCAACACCCGTCTAATCTGGTGTTCAGCGTGAACGGGGCGCCTCAATACTACCAATTTAAACCAGTGACAGATCAGGTTAGCGGTGTCGACGACAGAACCTAAGTCAATCAGTCTTTTCGAGCAGAATAAAATTTCCTGATGGGTTGTCTGAATCACCAGACCAATATCCTGACTCCCACACACACGTCTGTGAGTGTTTTCTGTTTACATCTCTCCTCTATAAAAATCTATTTGCAGTTTGTTAATGGTTAATAATAATATAACCAGTTCTGTTACGTTGCAGAGCATGGCACATGTTTATTCAATATAAATAATTTTATTATTGATAAATCTGAGGCCATAAAGGCTTCGTTGTTAGTAAAGTTGACGTAGTCTTGTTCTTGATAGATAGATAATTAACAGGGGAAAGCGCCAAGCCATTACGACTATATAGCACTTGGAAGGGGTCAGGATAAGGATTTGGGATGGGACGGGGGGAAAGGAATGGTCTTGAGCGGCAGGATGGCGTTGGGAGATGACACAGTCTTCATCCTGAGCGGCATGATGACGTTGGGAAGTTGGTTGGGCATTGTGTTGGTCGGCCGCAGCTTTAACGAGCCTTGTCTGAGGACGGATAGCTTTAGGACAGATCAACTAGTCATCTTCCAAAGCAGTTTTACCCCCCCCCCCAGCTACTTAAATGATTTAGGAATTGGGGGTCCTGCGTGTTGAAAAGCAATTTAAATCCTATTGAAATTTATGATGCGTGAGCTCTGCTCTCAAAGTGATTTTGTTGCAAGTTTTGCTAGCGAGTGTAAAATACTCAACTTGCAAGCGTGAATAACTTCATTGCATAATTGGTTTATTTTGACAATGAATTCGTATCATTCCAATTTTATGCTATACGTCTTTCTGCTGTAACTGTAAGCTGTATGTATTGGTAAAGCTCTACACCTGTTCACTTCAGCCACAACTGTAATTGTCTGAATAAACTAATTGCTGTTTTAGCTTCTGAATTGAATTGTAGAAACACCCGTCATGGGCTTAAGCTTAACGTGCAGGCTTAACATGATTTACACTGATTTACAGGTGATTACACACTGCAAGTTTAACGTGATTTACTCTGATTTACAGGTGATTACACACTGCAAGCTTAACGTGATTACACTGATATACACGTGATTACACACTGCAAGCTTAACGTGATTTACACTGATTTACAGGTGATTACACACTGCAAGTTTAACGTGATTTACACTGATTTACACGTGATTACACACTACAAGCTTAACGTCATTTACACTGATTTACACGTGTTTACACACCGCAAGCTTAACGTGATGTACACTGATTTACACGTGTTTACACACTGCAAGTTTAACGTGATTTACACTGATTTACACGTGATTACACACTGCAAGCTTAAAGTCATTTACACTGATTTACACGTGTTTACACACTGCAAGCTTAACGTGATTTAGAAATAGTTGGTTCTCCTGTCGGTGAGTTTCTTTAATTATCTCTCGCATCATTATGTACTCCTCAACTATCTTTCTGACTGTCTGACTGCTCTCTTCTCTCTCTCCCCCCCTCCCCTCTCTCTCTCTCTCTCTCTCTCTCTCTCTCTCTCTCTCTCTCTCCTCTCTCTCTCTCTCTCTCTCTCTCTCTCTCTCGTCTTCCGAATAGTTAGCTAATAACAAGACCAATAAATCTCATAGAAGTATTCTGAGGCGGTCTCCAATAATGGCAGCAAAATTACATTAGAGAACCTGCGGTGGGTGATCCTCTCGCTGCCATCCACTCCCTCTCCCAGAACAGGTGGCGCTGCCATCCATCCATCTCCCAGAACAGGTGGCGCTGCCGTCCGCTCCCTCTCCCAGAACAGGTGGCGCTGCCGTCCGCTCCCTCTCCCAGAACAGGTGGCGCTGCCATCCACTCCCTCTCCCAGAACAGGTGGCGCTGCCGTCCGCTCCCTCTCTCAGAACAGGTGGCGCTGCCATCCACTCCCTCGCAACTTTATTTCCTCTTTACTGGAAAAGTTCCTCGCGTTATTGGTTTGACGTCACGTATTAAGAGCGACTACTGTCTGAAAGGTCAACGTGTCTGGTAACGACTGAATACACACACACACACACACACACACACACACACACACACACACACACACACACACACACACACACACACACACACACACACACACACACACACACATATATATATATATATATATATATATATATATATATATATATATATATATATATATACATATATATATATATATACATGTGTATTAAGGCCTTTTTCATAGGCTTATTTTAATTATTACAAACACATCATATTGATACCAATGGAAAACTAAGATATGACGAGCATGTGTTGATGATATTGCCGTGAAATATGGTGATAATTGCAACATTCTGCAATAGAAATCTTGCCTTGTTTCTGTTCATTTAAATTATTGAAATAGAATTTCATCGCCTTTAAATGCTAAAGTATACGGATTAAACAGCGTTCTCATAAGAAATATGAGAGTATTTCGCAGCATTTGCTTCCATTTTCACTCAGCACTGGCAAAGAGTGAGGCCTCAATAAGCCTATATGAAAAGTTTAAAATGTGCAGTACATTTAATTTAGCCTGACACGAGGAGTACGTGGGATGGGTTTCACACAAGGATTTTTTTAACTTATTTTCTACTACAGATTGGGGGCCATACATTTTTACAATGCTAATGAGCATATATACATTTTGTTCTGTCCTACATGGAACAGGGTTTGAGATCTGTTAGAGAGCAAATAGAGCTGTGAGTAATTGAGCACTCAACTACACAGGGTGATTGAAGTTCTTTTACGATGCTAACCAGCATACCTAAATTCTCGTCTTTTTTACATAGGGTTAAAAGGGTTGAAACTAACCCTGTCGTAGCTCAGTCGATTAAGGCAGTGTTTGGGATGCTCCCGGACGCAGGTTCGAATCCTCGTCACGGCCCTTGTGGATTTGTTCGTTTGATGCATCACGTTAGTGTGATCTCTGTGTGTGACGGGGTTAAAGATTTGTTCAGTATGAAATATTAAAGTAATTAAAAGGGGCAAATGAATGGTATGACTACACTGAACAACAATAAAATGAGAGAACACGAATAAATTACAGAGATATGAGAATAAACTCCTCCACCGAAGAAATAGTTGAGAAATAGTTTAATCTGGTCAAGATTCTTCAAACTAAGTACAATTACAA